AAGAGTAAGAGAAAACTAACTCGCGAACTGTCAAAGTCGTGAAAAAATGCATTTATGTTTATATTACACGAGGTAACTACTCCGAAATTAAAATTTTAAAGTAATAGAAGTTTATATCGAAATTATTTTTAGTCCCGCGTGCGATTCAGACATTTTAATGTTTAAATAAATGTATTGTTGTTTAAATATTACTCTATTCTATCCCGCGTGCAATAAAAATCATTTAAATAATTATTAAATTATCGATAATATTAATTTAGAAGCTTTAGCGTTTAGAAAAGTGAATCGCGATGTGCACAGGTCGGAGAGCAAGAGGAAACTAAGTCGCGAACAGTCAAAGTCGTGAAAAAGTGCATTTATGTTTATATTACAAGAAGTAACTACTCCGAAATTAAAATTTTAAAGTAGTAGAAGTTTATATTAAAATTATTTTAAGTCCCGCGCGCGATTCAGACTTTTTAATGTTTAAATAAATGTATTGTTGTTTAAATATTACTCTATTCTATCCCGCGTGCAATAAAAATCATTTAAATAATTATTAAATTATCGATAATATTAATTTAGAAGCTTTAGCGTCTAGAAAAGTGAATCGCGATGTGCACAGGTCGGAGAGCAAGAGGAAACTAAGTCGCGAACAGTCAAAGTCGTGAAAAAGTGCATTTATGTTTATATTACAAGAAGTAACTACTCCGAAATTAAAATTTTAAAGTAGTAGAAGTTTATATTAAAATTATTTTAAGTCCCGCGCGCGATTCAGACTTTTTAATGTTCAATTTATTGTACTATTGTTTAAATATTATTCCACTCTATTCCACGATCAATAAAAATCGTTTAAATAATTATAAAGTTATCGATAATATTAATTTATAAGCTTTAGCGTTTAGAAATTAGAATCACGATGTGCACAGGTCGAAGAGTAAGAGAAAACTAACTCGCGAACTGTCAAAGTCGTGAAAAAATGCATTTATGTTTATATTACACGAGGTAACTACTCCGAAATTAAAATTTTAAAGTAATAGAAGTTTATATCGAAATTATTTTTAGTCCCGCGTGCGATTCAGACATTTTAATGTTTAAATAAATGTATTGTTGTTTAAATATTACTCTATTCTATCCCGCGTGCAATAAAAATCATTTAAATAATTATTAAATTATCGATAATATTAATTTAGAAGCTTTAGCGTTTAGAAAAGTGAATCGCGATGTGCACAGGTCGGAGAGCAAGAGGAAACTAAGTCGCGAACAGTCAAAGTCGTGAAAAAGTGCATTTATGTTTATATTACAAGAAGTAACTACTCCGAAATTAAAATTTTAAAGTAGTAGAAGTTTATATTAAAATTATTTTAAGTCCCGCGCGCGATTCAGACTTTTTAATGTTTAAATAAATGTATTGTTGTTTAAATATTACTCTATTCTATCCCGCGTGCAATAAAAATCATTTAAATAATTATTAAATTATCGATAATATTAATTTAGAAGCTTTAGCGTCTAGAAAAGTGAATCGCGATGTGCACAGGTCGGAGAGCAAGAGGAAACTAAGTCGCGAACAGTCAAAGTCGTGAAAAAGTGCATTTATGTTTATATTACAAGAAGTAACTACTCCGAAATTAAAATTTTAAAGTAATAGAAGTTTATATTAAAATTATTTTTAGTCCCGTGTGCGATTCAGACTTTTTAATGTTTAAATAAATGTATTGTTGTTTAAATATTACTCTATTCTATCCCGCGTGCAATAAAAATCATTTAAATAATTATTAAATTATCGATAATATTAATTTAGAAGCTTTAGCGTCTAGAAAAGTGAATCGCGATGTGCACAGGTCGGAGAGCAAGAGGAAACTAAGTCGCGAACAGTCAAAGTCGTGAAAAAGTGCATTTATGTTTATATTACAAGAAGTAACTACTCCTAAATTAAAATTTTAAAGCAATAGAAGTTTATATTAAAATTATTTTAAGTCCCGCGCGCGATTCAGACTTTTTAATGTTTAAATAAATGTATTGTTGTTTAAATATTACTCTATTCTATCCCGCGTGCAATAAAAATCATTTAAATAATTATTAAATTATCGATAATATTAATTTAGAAGCTTTAGCGTTTAGAAAAGTGAATCGCGATGTGCACAGGTCGGAGAGCATGAGGAAACTAACCCGCGAACAGTCAAAGTCGTGAAAAAGTGCATTTATGTTTATATTACAAGAAGTAACTACTCCGAAATTAAAATTTTAAAGTAGTAGAAGTTTATATTAAAATTATTTTAAGTCCCGCGCGCGATTCAGACTTTTTAATGTTTAAATAAATGTATTGTTGTTTAAATATTACTCTATTCTATCCCGCGTGCAATAAAAATCATTTAAATAATTATTAAATTATCGATAATATTAATTTAGAAGCTTTAGCGTCTAGAAAAGTGAATCGCGATGTGCACAGGTCGGAGAGCAAGAGAAAACTAACCCGCGAACTGTCAAAGTCGAGGAAAAGTGCGTTTATGTTTATATTACACGAGCCAACTACTCCGAAATTAAAATTCTAAAGTAATAGAAATTTATATTAAAATTATTTTAAGTCCCGCGCGCGATTCAGACTTTTTAATGTTTAAATAAATGTACTATTATTTAAATATTACCCTATTCTAGTTCGCGTACAGTAGAAATCGTTTAAATAATTTTAAAAATAATAATATGAAGTAAATATATAAGCAGATGTAAACAATCAAAGATCGATCGAGAACCTAGTCACGATCTTCGTTCGTACCAGTTCCTTCTTACAAGGTCGTTATTACTCAGTTCCCGTTCGCACAGTCAGTGTTCCGGACGTCTTCAGATCTGTTCTCGTATCGTTAATTATATTTCGTTTAGCTGCACATTTATTTTATATAGAATCTTTCATTACGTTTGATTTAATCATTTATGGATTATTAATCTTATTTCATATTATATTAGACTTCAATACGCATATTCATTAGACACATACGTAGCAAAATGAAGATTCAAGAGAGGACAAAGCGACTTTTTTGAACTTTCGAAAAAACTTTATTTTCTTTCCAAAAATCATGTCAAAAAATGGTCGACGATAGTTTACGCAGAAAAATAAAACTTAAGCTTATGTCATATAAATTTTCATAAAATAATTAAACTTATATCAAAGTCTCGTTTCTTAACACGCACACGTAATTCATTCTAAGTACATACAACGAGTCTCTTAATAGAGAAAGAAAGATAGCATTAGGATATAGATAACAGCTTAAAGGCTTCCAATCGTCTCCGGCAAGGAACAAAAGAACCAGTCGAGCGTGATAAAATGTTATTACTGACACATATATATATATATATATATATATATATATATATATATATATACACATATACATATATATCTGTGTATAAATACGTCGTATATTATTCGATGAATTTAGAGAGTATCGGCAAAAGCACATGTAAACAATCGAAGAATGATCGAGATTTCGCCCTTGGCACGACTTTTCCCAATCGTCCCTACTAACGCGTCACACAGTTTTCGTTCTTACAAGCAGCTCTCTAGACGTGTTCAGAACTGCTCTTCCTTCGTTTATTTTAATACAGAAAAGTGTCAAAGTATAATTCATTCAGTTTTTATCATCCTACTACAGAAAAAAACGAAGAATTCTTATCATTTTTCTTAGTGCTTGATAAATTTACAATTATTATCATACGTTATAGTTATACGTTAATAATTCATTCTTCTTCCGTATCTCCTAGTGAAATCACAAGCTATACATCTTGAGTGATGTTGAGTGAACAGTTAAAACACAAAATTAGTCATGCGATTAAGAAACCATTTAACTTGTGTTTAATTAATAATTAACGCTCGATATCGGCTCGAATAAGTGAGTTTAACATGTGTAAGGAAAATATATACGAATCCAATGCAGTAATTATCTTGACTTATTCGTTTCCTTTGTCGATCGATAATATTATAGAATAGCTAACGCTATTAGAATTCACATACATATAAAATTAATCTGTAAAGTACACCGTATAAAAATACCATGTGATGTCCAATTATTAAAATGATTATTCCTGAGCAAAAATCGATAGTTGGTAAATATTAAAACTATTTGGATTAGTAATTTATTAATGATACAATAATCACGAGTCTTTGTCATCTTGTCGAAAGTGTGATGTTAGATCAAAAGAGATAATCAAAATCTCGAATCTATTATCTCGTATATTTCCAATTTATCCCTATTTTGAAACATCAAGTTATTATATAATGAAGAGATTAGCCTAAAAAGTTTTCCTCTTCATTCGCAAAGAATATCCGAGAGGAAAAGAAATTATTTTCGCGAATGACCGTAGATTTACGACAATTTTACGAATGTCGCGCAACAAGAGGAGCTATAAAAATCAATTAGAGTAAGTATATATACATTGTACATACATACCTGCATACATGCATACATACATACATACATACCTACATATATATATATATATATATATATATATATATATATATATATATACATATATAGAGGAAATTTTACTAAAAGAACGATACACATATTTTATATAAAAGACGTGTAAGAAATTCGTCAGGAATAAAGCGAGAATGAAGTGAACTTATAGTTCAAGGAGAGAATCCGCAGCTTACGTAGAGACACCCTCGTCGTTCTTTTCATAGGGGTTGCTATCGGTTCTCCTCCGGCAACTACGTCGACGCGAACCGGCTCCTCCGTAAGCGCAAGGGGTTACCGCGTTATCATCCCTCTCTCGGCGCTTCTCCATTCTATTTCTCTTTCTCTCTCTCTCTCTCTGTCTCTCTCTCTCTCTATCTTTCTTTCTCTTCTTCATGTCCTTTACGCCGTCTATCTCCATCATTTTCTCTCTCTCTCTCTCTCTCTCTCTCTCTCTGTCTCTCTCTCTCTCTCTCTCTCGGCGCAAAATGCCGGAAAACGTAACGTGTTTTATCGATTTCGTCGTACGTGGGTCGGCCATGTTCGCGTTTGCCATCGGTCAGGCGCACTCGCGTCCTACCTACCTCCTCTGTAGAAGAGCCGTGCCACGGATAGATTTTCCACCGTTCTAGCACCGTCGTGGATGTCGCAAGGGCGTTCGACGTCAAAGGCGAAGACGAGGTGGATGAGAAGGATGCGTCTCTAAACGAAAAATAATATTCGTGCGAGTTACTAATCTCCTCCAACACCATCGTTTATAGTTTTTTCCTTCTTACTCTGTCCGTCTATCTATTTCTCTATCCACCTATATCGGTTCGCTACGTCGAGAGAGAATACAACGACAAAGTATCCAACATTAACGTTCTCTTCTTTTTAACGTCGTTTGTTCTTTGATCGGACGACGGCACAACGACGGGGTGGATCCTTGGATTGGTGAAGATAACGGACTGAATAAAAAATCATCTTCGATAAGGAATATTAACTTACGTGAGTATATTTATTTCAATATCTCTCTTTTCTCTCTATTTCTTTATTTAAGTATTAAATTCTTTAAACGAATCTTTTATTAATCTATCTTTCTGTATATCGGTTATCCGTATAAGCGGCTATCGAAATGGTGACACGCCACGCTCCCTAGAATCGATTTCTCTCTTTCCCTACCTCTTCCTCTCCAGCTCTCTGTGATTTTTCGACCCAAATTCGAGATCCGATCTCTATCCATTTTATATATATAGAATAAAGTTCGATCAACTCTCTCTCTCTCTCTCTCTCTCTCTACCTATTTGAAGCACCAATATTCGTCTAATTCGTAATTTTCATTACGGTCGTGCGTTTCTTTCATGTACGAGCAGAGATGGCAACGTTCCGAGAGTCTTCGTAGAAACGACTTAGAAACCAGCCTCTCCTTATTTAGAGAATGAGACACACATTTCTCCTATCTTTCTCTTTCTCGTCGTCTATTTTTCTCCATTTGTCTCGTCGCCTTAAATTTCTATGGAGACTTCCATGGACATCATCCCCTCTCGTCGTTCGATTCTTTCACGCGATATATACAATGAACTTAATATTAAAGAGAGCACTTAATATTAAGGTGTTTTTTTGTGCGATATAGTTGCGCGACACGTGATTTTATCAAAGAGAGATCATCTTTTCTGAACGCTTCTTTGTAAAAAGATGGAGGGGGTGGGTCATTCATTCATGCTGGAAGGGCGTTGGATGCCTCCTGCGTGACGATCGTGACGAGGACGTCCTTGAGAAAAGGATGTGGGACAGTCGATACTGTTAACGAATGACCATTATCTTAAAGAGGAAGGAGAAGGAGGGGGGGAGGAGTTGGGAAAAGTATCAACGAGAAGAAAGACCGAATGTTGTTGGAATTGAATGAAATCTTTCCTTTCCTTTTCTTTTCCTTTTTCAACCGATCATCATAATCTTTCGTATCGACAGGCAATACAATTTAAAAGGCAGCTTCTAATCTAAGCATATTTAATACGATGCACGCGATGATATCTTTTGGCTGGTCTAATAACCAATGGACGTCGTCATAAATCCTTTTTCTTATCGTTGAAATTTTATTTGATTATTTTGTTACTTTTTGACCTTAAACTTATTAGCCGATATCATTACCTATCTTAATCACTTTGATTTCTTAGGGATTAGTTAAGCTCGCCGCTCGAGGAGCCTTTGAAAACGCGTGTAGACGGAAGTGTCGTTGGTAATATTATTGGACCGGCAGAGTCTATAACTATCCGCTTGGTATCGATTTACCTCCCAAGTATACTCATGGACGGGTACATACATACTAACGTAAGCGTACATAATACCGGGGATGGACTCTGGTTAGTTCGCGCGAATCCAATCCCGATATAATCGTACGTTCGTCCAACGATCGTTACATTCTTATTTTGAACTAGAACATTTACATTTGGATAAAATATATATTGAAATAAAAATTACAAATCTTCTTTTCACATATATAAGATATTTTTGAAAATTCATACACCGGCTTATGGGCGTTCCATGAGGCTTAAAGAAATATTACATTTTATATATAAATTCGATCCTTAACATTTTATGGACCGCAGAAAATAAGCACGAATCTTTAGATATAGGATAACCTTTGGTCGTAGCGTCAGCGGTCAGAACAGTATCAACATTAGCTCACCGAGCGGTGAAATAATCCTATTGAAAGACATCCGTATCGATTTTACATACATTACGTGCCACACAAGTAAGATGCTGTGCTACTGCTACTTTTGGAATTTTCACGAGAAAAGAAAAAAAAAACAAAAAAAGAAGAGTCAAGAGAAAAATATGTCTACGTTCGCTTTGATTTAATCTTTTCCAATTGTTAGAGAGATATTACCTGTGTATTAAATGTGACGGATAATGTTCTGCCCGATGAGGGGAAATAGTTCGAAAAGAGAAGAAATAGTTCGACCTATTCTAACGAAATGGGAAAGCTTATCAACGTCAACCTGTCGCTCATATCATCGCGATGAGTGCTCTCCGTCGTGCTGTCGAATCGTTACACTTTCGCTACCTCTCAGCTTTTTACCCAAAGTGCTATGCACATACATACAATCTATACGTATATATATATGTATATATATGTATATATATATATATATATATATATATATGTATATATATACTTGGAAAAGAAATAGAAATCAAAAATTTCAAAGGTCCTCGGCAGATTCCTTAGGAAGAATGGTTACTCTCCAATTTGTCCTTTTCTACTTTTGTACTTTACCCTTATCGTTCCAACTAAAGAAGAATATAAAAAATAAAAATGAAGGGAAAAAAGCGTGCAAATCTTGGTATCTTACCCTAATAATTGATTTTCTTACTTTTCTTTCCCGCAATGGATAATTTCTGCCTTTCCTTTATTCCTCGATCCTTCCATTTTGTTTCTTTGCTCCTTTCTCCAGTTTATTCGATACTTCCTCACGGATGGTGTATACACCGACTCCCACGCATTGATCGATAAACCGTATTGCCGCGCGTGCTGGACTTTGATTATCTCTTTTACCTCATCGCTTCTACGTACTATTCATTCAGTCATCTATTCCTTCGTCCACCATCATTTGACATTTTTGTTTGTAACTTTGCTTACGAAATATACGATGCTTATACTCAAATGGAATTGTTCCATTTTTAAAAGAAAAATTAAATCAGCGCGAGTTTAACCTCGAAACGCGTTTTAAACACGATAAAAGAAAAAATTTATTTATCATGGCTCGCAAGCGAGTCCTGCGCGAGCGATACGCATGCGAGTTTCGAATGCCGTGCCTACCGCGGAAGTGGACAACAGAGATTAGGGAGAATGAACGCGTTTGCACACAAGCACGGGAGATTATTACGAGTCGAGATATTATTTTTCATTGAGTGAGGCATTGGAAGCTACTCGCTAGCATCGTCTTTGATTCATTTCATTGATCTTCTCCGAACTTTCCTCCTACGTACTGACGTAGACGTAGCTCGGTACGTGATAAAAGCGAAAAAAAAAAAAAAAAAAAAAAAAGGCGTAGAATCCCATCTAATGGTTAGTTTTGAATCGTTCAGAAAATGCCACCTATTAAGAGGGAAGCACCGTCAGAACCGGCGCCAGCAGCAGCTACATCGGAAAATGTGGAAACGCAAGAGGAAACGTCGAACCTTCCGCAATTGACGTTGAAGGCGATGACGAGTACCGAGGAGGCAGTAAGAAGCGGTAAGTTTTCAAAGCCATTCCATTTCCATTTTTTCCATACGAATTCGTTATCATCCGCCTAACATTTATTTATTAAACGATTCCATTACTTTTCATTACTTTTATTCAGAGACAGAATCGGAAGTCACGACGGAAAGTACGATGAAAAATTTGAAGGATCAACTAGGAACATTATCGAAAGATTTGGCCGAAGAAATGGGTATACCAACGTGGGGCTTAGTCGCAATTTTAATAGGTATGGGACAAATTTGTGGAGTTAAACGGATTGCATTAAACGTTTTTTGCCAGATTATGAAACCTTTCTTGATGAAATTATTTCGAAGAACTAATTTCGTACGTTTACGCGAAAAAGCATAAGCTTTGAAAATTTAGAAAAAAAGAAAAAGAAGCCTAGGCTCTGTATAGGCTTATTATATGTATGTAGTCATTGTATGTAGGCATTTATTGTACTTGTGTATGATCGACGCGATGAACATCGAATATAATATCTTTATCATATCGTACGTAGCCGTCGGCGTGGTCGTCCTTGGAATTTGTTTCTGCTGTATAAGAAGATGCTGTCGCAAGAGACGTTCCAAGGATGGCAAAAAGGGCCTAAAAGGAGCGGTGGATCTAAAATCGGTTCAGTTACTTGGAAGTACGTATAAGGATAAGGTACGTACTCGGTGTGCCGTGTTTATCTGTAGATATTAGAAATGCATTCTACCCTCGTGGAATCCACTTCGATGTCCTTAGGTACAGCCGGATATGGAAGGACTCACGGATAATGCAGAAGAGCCCGACGAGGCTGAAAGCAAACAGAGCGAAGTCAAACTAGGAAAGCTTCAATACAAGGTAGAAGAAAGAAAGAAAGAAAGAAAGAAAGAAAGAAAGAAAGAAAGAAAGAAAGAAAGAAAGAAAAATAAATAAATAAATAAATAACAACGGTACTCGATATCATACGTATCGCGTATATACGTGCTTTTAGGATAATGGAAATGCGTCTCGTTAAAATTGCTCAATAATTCTATTAAATTCCTTATATCTCAGTTGCGTCGGCTCGATCGACTTCAATGTATTGAATTTTCAGCTCGAGTATGACTTCAATTCAAACAGTTTGGCAGTGACGGTGATACAGGCCGAAGAATTGCCAGCTTTAGACATGGGTGGCACTTCGGATCCTTACGTAAAGGTATACTTGTTGCCCGATAAGAAAAAGAAATTCGAAACGAAGGTCCACAGAAAGACGCTGAGCCCTGTATTCGAGGAGACGTTTGTTTTTAAGGTCCGTTTAATTTTCATTAGATTCCCTTTCATTTCTCATAAATCCGTCATTGACCATCTTTCATTTCTCATATTTTTATCGTTACAGAATGTACCTTACGCGGAGGCCATGAACAAGACACTGGTATTCGCGATCTTCGACTTTGATAGATTCTCGAAGCACGATCAAATCGGTGAGGTCAAAGTACCGTTGTGTCAGGTCGATCTCGCACAGACCATCGAGGAATGGCGAGAATTGCAGAGCGTCGAAGGAGAGGGAGGACAGGTAGGCTTAACAGAGATAATTGATTGCGATAAGATTGTCGGACAGAAGATCTAAGAAAGATAACTTCTTCATATCTCTTCTTTCATATTTTTCCATTGGAAAGCGAATTCGATCGTATAAAGAAAAAAATTGTTCATTGCAGGACAACAAATTGGGTGATATTTGTTTCTCCCTGAGATATGTACCAACGGCTGGTAAACTCACGGTGGTCATTCTCGAAGCTAAGAATCTAAAGAAAATGGACGTTGGTGGTCTCTCAGATCCTTACGTCAAGATCGCACTCATGCAAAATGGCAAGAGGCTCAAGAAGAAAAAGACATCCATAAAGAAGTGCACTCTTAATCCCTATTACAACGAATCGTTCACCTTTGAAGTTCCCTTCGAGCAGATCCAAGTAAGGAATATATAACGTTTGCCGATTGAGTTTTGCATTTCTTGCAATATCGTATACTTTTAATACGTCTAGAAAGAGATTGAAATAATGAAAGAGATTGAGAGAGAGAGAGAGAGAGAGAGAGAGAAAAAGAGAGAATATATCGTTGATAAGAGATTGATATAACGTTGTATTTTACAGAAAGTGCAATTGGTCGTAACAGTGGTGGATTATGATCGCATTGGTACTTCGGAACCGATCGGCAAAGTCGTATTGGGATACAATGCGAGTGGAACGGAATTGAGACATTGGTCGGATATGTTGGCATCTCCGAGGCGTCCAATTGCTCAATGGCACACACTCAAGGATCCCGAGGACGGAGATAAGAAGGATTAAATTGGTTAAATGAATATTCAATCGAGGTAACGTCCCTCCTCTGCTACACCTAACCAAAAAATACTTTCTATAAGATGGATTCAAGAGATATAGACGGCGCCTATATGCATACCACATCCACATTATAATTTCTTTCGAGACGAGATCCAAGAAAGCGTCGAGAGAAGCGAGAACTCTGAGTGTCGAGAGAATTCGTTGGCAATAACTAATCGTTTCTTTGCAGGAATATATCTCACGAGAGAGAAATAATAAAAGGAAACAAAAATGTGTGAAAGTGAGGAGAGAGAGAGAGAGAGAGAGAGAGAAATTATGCGGAGAAAAATGAACGTGATAAGGAGAGAGAGAGAGAGAGAGAGAGAGAGAGAGAGATAGGAAGTAAGAAAAAAAATACTTAGCAGATATTAAACGATCTATGATTAAATTAAATAACGATAAATACCACCAAGAATTTAGAATTAACAATATGTTCTCATGGAATGTAGTGTCTTGTATATATACATGCATACATACATACATACATATATCTACTATTACTTCTCTCCGTAGATGTAAAACACATTTGAATAATAATTTCCCGAATGAACATGCGTTCTCTTCATATCTACGAGAAGCATTTTGAAAAAGAAAAGGAAAAGACACAAAAACAAACACATATGTGTATAAATTTGTGCATGGCTCTATATATAGGCACGCACACATATATACACATATATATTTATCAAGTTACTTCGAATAGAGTTCTTTATAAAGCTAAAATAAGAAAGATGATAAGAAAAAAACTACTCTAAGAGCTCTTACGGTCCCTTTGACGTTTCAGCGCAGATTTAATAAGACTCTTTGTAAAGTAATCGATATTGTTCATGTTAAATACGTTGGACTGAGATAAGAAGACACATAAAACAACAAACATTATATACACGCATATGTACGTGTCACGAATGGCGTGCACGTTGCGTAACCAATGTGTGAACATTTCTCGGGAGAATATAAATAAATCGTAAAATATAATAAAAAGAACAAAAAGAAAAAAAGAGACATAGCGAGCTTCGTGCGTAAGTAAGTAAAGTAATTAAGTAAGTAACCACAAGATAGTTGTGTTTTTCGTGTACAAAATAACGAGAGAGAGAGAGAGAGAGAGAGAGAGAGAGCGAAAGTGCGAACGTGCGACGAGCGAACGAGCAAACGAGCGAAAGAGAGAGAGAGAAAGAGAGCGAGAGAGAGATGAATAAACAAAATATAAAAAAATTAAATTTAAAAGGATTACAACGAAGCTTCCGTCGATCTTTCGACGCATTTAATTCGCCACGTACGCCTATGTGCAGAGAGAAAAGAGAAGGAATACGTAAAAAGGGTAAGAAAGGAAGAGATGAAATGACGGCTTCCGGTTGTGGCAAAGATTCTCGGAAAAAAATGTTAAAACACAATGAATCAGACAAAAGGAAAACAAAAAAAATAAAAGGATGGCTATATCCGTTACGAAGAAGACGCGTTATCAAAGCAGACCGGAAGCGAAAGAGCTATGGACAAAAAAAAAGAGAGAAAGAAAAGGAAAACATGACTTTAAAGAGACCTGGAGATGACATTTTTTCTAGCTGGCCAAAATCACATAAGAGTTGTTCACGCGAAGGGCTCGTGAAAAGGTTTCCTCCATTGAAGAAAAGTCTGCTTTGATGAATGTCTTCCAGACTTCGTAAAGAGAACTCGACGACGCGCATATATATATATATATATATATATATATATATATATATATATATATACATATATATACATATACATACACATATACATATATGCATATGTATATATACACATACCTACATAGATATACGTATAAGTAGCACACGCGCTCGCTCGTTCGCTCGCACATACGCATACACATATGTGATAAGACTTACGATTTTCTTTTATCTGTATTTTACGCGTATGAAACGAATGAGAAATAATTACAGAAAAAGAAAATAGCCTAAGTCATTTCTATGTCGTATACACGTGCAACGCGAACGTGAGCGCGCATACGTATACGTACATACGAGTGTATATTACGTGTATACACGCACACAAATACACGCACGCGCGCACACACATACACACACACACACACACACACAGAGAGAGAGAGAGAGATATAAATACCACAAGTTACATCCGCAGATATTGTTATAATTATTTTACAAAAGACAAGAAACTATGAACGGGCCTATCCTATTGTATGTACGTGCTTGTTAGACACATTTCGGCCAATAAATTATCTCGATTGAACGCGGACTTGAAATCAACGAGGAAGATAAAATGGCGAAGATAATAAAGAAATAATCGAGCATTTAAAGAAAGATCAGTGACCGTGGAGAAAAAACGGATAATAAAAAGAAGAAACGCGGCGGTGGAGAGAAATATTTTACGAAGGTAGAATCGTATCGCCGTCTTAAATGATCGTAATAAAATCTTACGGAAGAGAAGAAATGAAAAGGGAGTGAGGAAAATGAAATAGGAAGAAAACAAGAAAGTGTCCGACATATGTCATCGGAATGTCGCAACTTCTCGACTCTCCATAAAGAAAATTAAGACAAAACCGTCGTTTGGTTCTATCGTTTTCCATTCAGGACCAATTATCTCGCTAGCGCGTTCCAGATGAAGTTACTATTATTATGCAGCATTGTACTTAAATGAAAAAGAAAAAAAAGAATCTTTAAGGCGAGTTCGTAAGTTTAACTGTTAAAAAGTGTCGTGGGTTGGACGATGACATCGATGAAACAAAGACGAGAAGTAAGAAAAATATCGAATCGGAAGGTGGAACGAACGAACTCCTCGTCCATTAATTCTCGTTCATTCGCTTCCTTCTATATTTTTCTTTCTCTTTCATTCAAGCGAGAATAGAACGACACTTCGGTACGGTACTATAACAATATAAGCGTTCGATATTTTGTTGAGACATGAAGGAACATATGTACGTACTCGTTGCATCTTTAAAAGTTAGATTTTGGTAATATTCGAAATCATGATAGGAGGCACAGTGTGCGGTATACATAAGTCAGAAATTGTGACTCACACGACGACAGTTTATTATTAACTTCATTACAGCGTTTTCTCCTCATTTCGAAAATTTCTGTCTCGACGAAATTTCACAATTGCGGTTTTTCCGCGTGCGTGCTTTTTAGTAATACGTGACGTAACATCTTTCTTGCGACAGAAATATTTAATGAAGGGGGAGAGAGAGAGAGAGAGAGAGAGAGAGAGAGAGAGAGAGAGAGAGAGAGAGAGAGAGAGAGAGAGAGAGAGAGAGAGAGAGGGAGAGGGAGAGAAAGCGATTTTAAATAAAAGCGTACGCACCGGTTACCCCTATAATTCACGATGGTGGCGTAGACACATTAGCTATGCAATAAACGGCCGCCTTTCGTTCCTTTCGAAATGATTTCCGCGCATTCGCGTTGCGTGTTCGCCACGTTATCGCAACCGATAATGATGCTGGTAATGGTTCATCAATGTCATCGGCCACGTCTTTTTGCGACGCTAATTCAAATATTTAATTGAATATTAGAGCGATGAGATAAAATTAGGGCGATGAGAATAAAAAAATGAGAAAAAGAGCACGCGTGAAGTTTGTTGGTTTTGTGGCTAGTTTTCGCGAGGGAGGAAAACTGTCCATTTTTTACAGTAGATCCTGTGCGTTCTTTACATATAAGATAGGAGGATGCTTGTTTCTTGTTGTATAATATATAAAAAAAAAATCTACAAAAACAACAAAAAAGCAACTTTCCTGCGTTTTAAGGGGCCGATGCTTGATTTCGTCCGCAGGATCTACTTCTCTTTTTCGACGTAGACACTCGCAGACTTTAGATCTCCATTTAAGAAACAGAACAAGTGAGAGAAACAGAAAGGAAGAAAGAGAAGAAAGATAAAGAAGTACGTCTTAGAAGGAAGAAGAAGGAAAAGGAAATGGTGATCCTGACGACAAGCATCTTTCTGAAGCGTCCCATCTGAAAAGAAAAATAATATATAAATATAGATATATATCCCCAGACGCATATATATCTTCTTCGAAGTAACGTGGACTTTTAGGAGAGAAAGGAAATGAGAAAGAATGGAAAGGAGCGAGAGGGAAGCAGCTGAAACTCGTATATTTGATTGTCTCGTCCAAATGAAATCTATAAAAAAAAAAAATGAAAGATAGAGATGGAAGAAGGGAGTGGAGTGGAGTGGAGAGGAGAGGAGAGGAGAGGAGAGGAGAGGAGAGGAGAGGAGAGGAGAAGAAAGGCAAAGAGAAAGAAATTCATAAATGCAGTCAGCTTGAAACGAGGATTGTATCGGGAACTTGTAATCATTCCATTGCATATTATACATATTAAGGTTTAGTGCGACAATGTACTGTAAATCCATAGAAGTTATTATTATGTCCTTAATTATTATGTAATAAATATTGTTGTTAACATAAAATCATACGAGCGTGTTCTATGGGAACGAGGAACGATGTGAAATAAGGTAAGTGAGTTTTATATAAGAAATCTAATAAACGCATACAGCGCACATCGCACAGAGAGATACGTAAATATCGTATCTGTGCGTATTCCTTGATCGTATTCCTTGAAAAAGTATGAAAGACGTTAAATCTGAGCAATCGAACTTGCGCGATATCATTCTTTATCGAATTAATATTATAATGAAGCAGCCGCACGACGCGATGTTTAAAAATAATCAATGAATAACTCATCAAGATGATTTCATAGAAAAAAGATGAGATTAAAAGAAAAAGAGATTACATAGTATTAATCATCTCTCGTATTGTCTCTTTGAAAGAAAAGAAAAAGAAAAAAAAAGAAATTGAAATTGAAAAAGTAAGAGCTTGGTTATTTTTCTTTTATTTTAGCCAGCCGAAAATAAACTTAACGGTGCCGTTATTTGGTCAAAGGGTAAATTGAGTCGGTTGTGAAACACGATAAAAAGATGTTACGTCTTTATTATCGTCCAACTGATTTGACGAACGTAAAAAGTTTTGAAGAGACAAGAGAAACATAGGACAACAAGCGTAATAACAGAGCGTCGTTCATCACGACGACGAACGCTAACGTTAGGCGACTAACGATATTAATGAATTAATCAATAAGTAGGTACACAGATTCGCTATTCTATAATTATATTGATAAGCTGCTTAAGCAAGCTTAATACTGGCGGTAGGACGATTGCTTCCGACTTGTCTGTCGCTGCTTTTTTGCGGGAAGTCCTCGGGCGTACGGTCTGTGTGCGTTTGTTGACAGATAGAAGATGCCTCGTGCTCTATTCAAATGTAATCAATGAAACAAACGAAAGAGACGATTAGACAGGAAATATAATCTAATAAATGGAACGTTCGAATAAATTTAAATGGGGATCAGCTTGACTCGAATGGTTTTTTTCTTTTTTCAAATATACTCGAAATCTATCCAATGATTTCTCACAATAATAACAGGAGGACTTTTTTCTCTTTTTTTTTGTTTTTTTTTCCTTTCCCTCCTCCCCCTCCGCTCCCGGTCCCCTTCCCCACCCCCCCCCCCCCCCACCCCCCCGCCCCAAAAAAAGAGAAAATGTCCGACAATATGACGGGAGGAGTATAATTATGAGAAAACTAACGTATGTGGCGTGTCCTCTCCCATGAGAATGTACTTCTCCAACGGCGGATTGCACCAGCCGATCAGGTAAGAGAAAAGATTGCCGCAGGGTGCTGCCCAAAATCCTTTCTTCGTTGTGATCGACTCGATGTAATACGGTGTCACTTTGGTGTGGTCGCAGGAGAGCGTTTCTAAGAGGTGAAACTTTTATTCGGCTCGTAATACCGATAGTTATAATACGAGGAAGTAATGAGGAATAATAAATATATCGCGAGATGGAGTTTATCCTTTTAAAATTATCCTTGTAATAGATCGATCTTTTCTAATAAACGAAATGACGATTTCGAATGGTGGAAAGAAGGTGGCGATCGTACTCACGGAGCAGAGAGGAGGTCGCGCATCCGGGTTGGCTCGATCCGCCGTTCACGTAGAAATCCGCGTGTCCGTTCGGTCCCCATTGGCCTAAAATACCGGCACCGGTGTGTATGACGTCGACGAAATGGGCGTCCGTCTCGTCTAAATCCATCGAACGATTCCCGTTCATGTAGAAAAATATCGTCGGATCGAGGCCTATCCCACAAAGAACATAGACACTTCAACGTGATTCGATTCATTCGAACCGAGATACTTTGCTACTTTGTCAATCGGATTTAATATATCGTTTTCAATAGATTTCGAAACAAGCTTTCTCTTAAGCGTGAAAATTTTCATTTGGTAAAAAATACTTTCCCAAATAAATGAGTCTGATAACGGGATTAATATTGTATAAAGGGGAACGTGAATGAATCCAGTGAAAGTAAATGCTGATGCGAACTTATGCACGAAGAGATCAGAAAGCTCGAGCGAATCTCTCCTTTTGTCTTCTTCGAAAGCGTGCCGGACAACGGCATCGAAAGTGAAACGAGTACATTTGAGGCAGATATTTATTTATCGCGTGGGAAAAATTGTTGATTAGAAATGACAAATGCAAAATGAAGAAATAATCTCGAAGGGAATTTGAAGTAAACGACTGTAAAAAACGGAAAAGAGAATATGTAATATTGGTGTATAAGAATAAATATTACTATCTATGTATAGAGAAAAATAATGACGATATATAGAAATATTGGAAAAATTTACCCGTTATCCTGCCGAGCTTATCGTAGGGCAAATAATTGGCAATCAGTCCGGCGATATGGGCGCCCACGCTATAACCAAGGACATGAATATTCTCCGCCCTTGTACCTCGAGGATGGTCCCTCAAGTATCTCACCAATTGCGCGATACATCGCGAACAGAAATCTGGTCCCCATTGTATTTGTGAGAGACAGGGCTCGCGTACCAGCGTGCCGTAATCGACAATAATGATATTGTAATCGCCTCGAGTGAAGTACGCTAAAACGTACGAGAAGTTTTGTAACGAAGATTCTCCCCGCTTATCATTGATCTTAATCATTAGTCAAACAACAAGTCAAAGATTAATCAAATCGAAACTCGATCTTTGCTTGACTTGCATTTCTAGAGAGGTGACATGAGTTTTCTTTTTTTGTTTTGTTTTGTTTTGTTTTGTTTTGTTTTGTTTTACCACGTCTAAGATCCGTACTAGGTGCCAAGTTTCTACCACCACCAAAACCATGAATAATGATTTTGGTCGTATGGGATTTGTTGAATCTGGAATAGTAGAGCGACTCGAAGCTTCGAACGTCCAATAGTAAAGGATCCTTTTGCGTGTTCCTGAAAAGGAAAAAAATCGTCTACGTTTAATTTATATTGCAAATAAATGTATATTTTCTCATGCGTTTCACCATAGTCAAGGTGATTGTGACGTAAGCAGGGTCAATGCTAAGTATTAGTGCGGTGAATGTTGTTCGTACGGAGCTAAGAAGCGTTCGTGTCTACACGAACGTAGATATCGGAGAAAGGTGAGCTACGAAAGGAGGACACTTTCGTTACGGGAGATGAGAAATGGTCGTGATCTTGAAAACGAGAGTCTCTTTAGCTAAAAGAGACTAAAGGTTACTTTAGCGAGTCTTTCGATACGAGAATACATAAAGCTCCTTCATAATTTTAATAACAATTGTCCAATAGAAACGTGACCGTTTGTTCGCAAGAGTTTAAGGAAGAGGATACGCGTGTTTATGAAGAAGGACGTTTACCTGGTGTACAAATAAAATTCAATTTGAGGATGTGGACACTCGAAAGGTGGCTTAGCGCAGGACGTGCTGTTGAAAAGATCCTTCAGAGTTTTGTTTTCTGCACCTACGTTGTCTGCGAACAAAATGGATAATGCGATGGAATGGAAGTGACAGAGGATTAAGTAATGGACTTATTAACCATGCTTTATAATAGACCAATACGTGTAATTTATTTATCCAATGAATCGCGCAACTTATATCGCTCGTTTCTCGGATCGTTGCTTCGATGAAAAGAAGAAAAAGAAGAAAAACGAGGCAAGTGGGTGAAGGTCGAGTAGTCGTGGTCAAGCTCGATTGACCTTTCATTTTTTACTTTCTTCGCAACATTTTTATACCTTTTTCTTCCCCGAGATGTTGCCGATCGATATCCTTACTCGAAAGAAGAAAAGAAAAGAAAAGAAAAAACCAATTACAATATGGATTAGAAAGAAGTTGTCTCTCTCTCTCTCTCTCTCCCTTTTATTAGATATATTTCTTTTAATATGCGTCCTTGTAAAATGGTATGTCGTAGAAATGCAAAGCTAGGAGGAACACGACTAGTTGGGTTCGTTCTCTTTAATAAAAAAGACCCATTGATAGATAAGAAACGGGCACTTGGAGGAAGACATATAAAAGATTATCTATTCGGAACTTTGTCTTCGCTTTCACGCTTTTTAAATACAACTGGTACGTTCAACTTGAGACGAATGGTAATCCGTTTGGCCGGTGAAAACGTTTCTGGCAGCGATCCAAGATAGAAAGATTTGATCGAATTAAAAAATGAATACATATTGATTTTACTCACGTTGACGGACGAAGATCGAGGAGAAGAAGACTAGAAGAAAAAGGTATCTCTCGAGATTGACCGCCATCTCCCGCACTTCTTTGGTTCGTGATATAACATTCAGGCACGTAGATGATTGAGAATGAAAAATTACTTTACTTGAACTTGTTTTGTCAAAGGAGAAAAAAAACAAAGTATCAAGAAAGTTGGCGTCTTCTTTCCTCGAAGTATGAGGAAGGAACGGGGGCGGGAGGTAGGGGAAAAATGTTAGAAATTAATTGACAAAACGTTATCTGCGAGACGAAACGCGCAATGAGCAAAGTGTAAGAAGGATGCGTGCCGGGCCTCCGAGTGGCCGAGAGCACAGCTATGAGCGCAGCTATGAGCGCAGCTATGAGCGCAGCTATGAGCGCAGCGCGGTTGCGCCTACAAACGATAGAACTCGAATGTACTCGCGTATCGGCGAACACGTGGAGGACCCACTTTCCCCTACCGCTCTGTTCGCTACCTTTCTTCTCTCCTCAACGATTTTCGTCAGAGATCCACCATGTCGCTCCGATTTTATGCAAATGATCATCGTTTTATTTCGACCAATTGAAAAATAATAATAATCACTCTTATTTTGTATTTGGAAATATTTGAAGTATTAAACAAAAATTAAAGATTAAGTGGAACGATCGGAAGTGATTGTTTTCCTTTAGATTTGTCTACGATAAATCTATTTTTTCGTTTTTCTTCTATACACACACACACACACACACACACACAGACACATGTACGTATGTATGCATGTATATATGTATAATGGCCCGAGGAAAACAAATTTCTAATTCGTCTCCTTTCTCCGATTTTCCAACTCTCTCATTTTCCTTTGCGTCGTTACTTACGTAAATGATGGAATATAACGGCGCTCTGATGTCATCATATCCATCGTGAGACGAATCTCTCCTAGATCCCGACGGTATCATATTTTCGAATGAAATATTAGATAATTATGACATAATTGTGGAAAAATTAAATATATCGTTTTTATATTATTATCGTCATTTATATTATTCGTTATTCGAATGAAAATTCGGCTAATAATTCGTATACTACAACTACGACAGATACACGTCGGTATTTAATCAAGGAAATGTTCTTCCACGTTTCGAGTGGCAGCTGAAAAGGAAAGAGGAACAGGAAGAGGAAGCTACGTCGAAAACGAGCGATCTCCTTAAACGTCACACGAGATATTCAAAAGCGAAAATGATCTTTACCATTATCGAGCTCGGTGATTGCTCGAACGTTCCGACGATCTTTTCTTTTTTCTTTCTAATTAAAATGTTGGATCGTATGCACGTAAGTATCATATATACATACCAAGGGCTAATTATCCTCCCTCGTGTGCGTAAAACCACGTATCACGTATCTATGTATTCTAAGTACATCCGTCGACGATTTCGCATGACGACACGTTGCAACGAATTTCCAAAATGAACAAAAATTAAAGATATTAGCTCGTAGAAAGTGAGAGTCGATTGTCGACCGACTATTTAGAAAAAGAAGAAAGAAAGCGAAAAAGAGAAAGAAAAAAGAGAAAGAAAAAAGAGAAAATTAAAAAATCTGAATACAATATATCGTTTAAATATTAACAAGCTCAAGGCTTAATGAGTCTTGAAAAGATCGGCTTCCACTTTATTGTCAATAGCCGTCAGTAGCAGTGTTTCTCGGTTTAATTACACAATACAATCACAATACAATATACATACATATTTTACATAATTGTCGAGATATTAATTATTAACAAACCAGACGATACCGGCGTGTAACAAGAATTTGATAGATTCTACATTTTGCAGCTACGATTACAGAACGCGACTTTTTAACTTTTTTATCTTCTTTTTCTCATTTTCTTTGTTTTCCTTGTTAGAGATATAACAGATAGAGATATAACAGATAGAGATATAACATATCGATCGAACGTACGTTGCTTCCTTGACCTTTTATATTTTATCTTTTGTCACGTGAATTACACACACATACACACACGCACACACATTCTTGAAAAGTTTATACATATATGAAAGAGAGGGAGGGAGGGATGAAAGGAAAGAGTAAAAACATCGAAGAAATAATAAATCTCAATTGCGGGATATAATCGATCTTTTTTCCATCGAGAAGGAAGAATAATAAATATAGAATAATAACAAATTTCTATCTAATCGTAAATCGAACACTATTGTATCTAAGGATTCACTTCTACGGCATACAAGAATAACCATCTTTCGATATTCGGAATGGAAAAACGCGTAAAATGTGAGATATTGTTTTCGCCACAGCACGTAAGAGCAAAAGATTCATTTTGGCCCACGGCGCGCGCATCTTTCTACTTTATAAACGTGGAACGTATTATTAGAGGATAATTTATGCGTATTTATTGTTCGCAAAATATTTAACCATCTCTCGTTAGACGTGGATATATCTTTTGAATATTAAGATGAATCCTACGATCGATCTACACACTCAAATATTCTCTTTAGATTTAATTCATCAATTTAATAATAGATAATTAGTAATACGACTCATCAGGAAGCTTCCTTCGTTTTTTAATTTTAATGAAAATCTTATACGTAGAATTGTCAATAAAAAATGAAAATTCCTTATTCCGTTGTTATTATCGAATTCACTCCGTCGGTATAATTCTATCGAAAAATCTGATGGAAGCTACAAACTGACAAGCTGATATATTATCATCGAGCCGGTTGGAACGTTCATACCGAACGAATCGCACAGGAAACGGCCTAGCTAATACTCCTCGGTGCAGGAAGCAGACGAAATGACAAAACGGTTCGCGTGACGCAAAACGCTCTCTCTCTTTTCTGACGAGGCTTGTCGCTTGTAACGCGGAGGCTTATAATTTTAAACTTTCACGAAAAAACAGAAATACAAATACGATATAACAATAAGAGATTGTGAATGTCTATCTTTATCTATGCGTGTTTGTGTTCGTGTGCTTGTGCGTGTGCGTGTTCGTGTGCGTACGTGTATGTATGCTTTCATTTATTTATATATTTCTTCTTTCGAGATTTAATATACATATAAACTAACGGCGAACCATCGAAAGCTTAAAATTGTAATAATTTCATTACGACTAATCCTCGTCAGTGCGATCGTCGATATTGTCATTGGTTATCGTGAAATTAACGCCAAATGACTTTACTGCGGAGAAAACTTTTCGTTCAAACGAAAGAGAATGAGAGAAAGAGTGCTACGAGAATGACCAGTAAAACTCGACAATGCCACTTTAAAAACCATCGATTGTATTAGAAACATATAATATATCGAGAAAGAAAATATCTTTCTATATCTGCGATAAGACGATCGCAGTACGAAAGAGAATCAATTCTTTTCGATTTGTCACCTTATTGTCATTATAACGTATTACTTTCGTTTGCTCGTAAACTTTGTCCGTTATTGTCTATTATAATAGTAATATTAATAATAATAATAGTAATATTAATAATAATAATAGTAATAATAACAATAATAATAATAATAATATCAATCCATTATAAATTCTCGAATGAGCACGCACACTCAAGTACATATTTATGGGTGTGTCGCATATGAAAGAAAAGTTCAATTACAAGTAGATAAACGCTTATAACTTGTTTGTTCGACGATGGCACACGATTATATTAATTATTATCATTGTTTATTACTAATTTTATTACTATCATCATCATCATCATCATCATCATCATCATCATCATTATTATAATTATTATTCTTATTATTATTATTATTGTTATTATTATTATTATCATCATTATTATCATTATCATTATTATTATTATTATTATTATTATTATTATTATTATTATTATTATTATTACTATTATTATTAACATTATCATTATCATTATTATTTTTATTAGTATCGTTAATATTATTGGTTTCTCGGGGAGAAGCGTCTTGGCGAACTTTGCCATTTTTCTGTTCGATATCTTTTTTCTTTTCGATCAATGTCCTTTACCATTTCTTTTCTTTTCTTATTATGTTTGCCGGTGATTTCAAAATAACGTATAGCATTATACATGCATACAAGTATTATGCGTAGGTACTTAGGCGTATGTACTTTAGGTATATTAGTATATATAACTATTATTAGAGCATTCTCTACCGAGTGTACCGATTATAGTAGAACACAAAAATGGAGATTAATGAATTAACATCGACGTATACATATATTATTCATATCTATGTTTATAGTGAAACATAATGGAACATATTGTGTAGCATATTGTCTCTGAAAATATTGTCCTCTCGAATACACATTTATCTAATCTATTCTAAATCTTTTTCTATTCGTCGAGCAAACGATATAATATATTCGCAAGGCGATCATTCGCAGCACGTCTACGTCGGTACACTCCGTATTGTTTATACATACATATTGTCTCGTTATATTATTATCATCTTTTGATAAAGAATGAATTTTTATTATCATTTTTCAAGCTATATTCGTATTACGTATGTACGTATATGTATATGTATATATATATATATATATATATGTGTGTGTGTGTGTATGTATATATATATGTATATATATATATATATATATGTATATATGTATATAAATGTATCAGTATTATTGTTCGAACAGCATTAGAACTTATCCTAGATATTTCGTGTAATAATTCTTACAATCAACGTCATCTTATAGTACGATCTCATTATATCTTCGTTTCCAATACTCATCCACATCCCCCCATATTCCATCAGCAATGAAACCGCGTGTTAACTTTAGGCCGGTCACTACTCCAATGTATAATGGTGAATATTACATATAGTACACTCTTAACGAAATAATATTAATTTTACTTTTTCTTGCCACGTTAGGACGAGCCACAATTACGATCTATTTACAATTATAAAATAACTTTGCTGACGTCGAGCATTTGCGAATAAAATCGCGAATTGGTATGTACGAGAACGGTTCGCATTGATAATTAATATACGACGATTTCTTTCAACTCGAATTTTACTCGAAAACTACAAATGTAGCATTTTATTGTGATATATTGTTGAACGTTATTGAATATTATTGTCAGAAAGAAAACGATGTAATCGTGGCTCCAATTATTATCAGCACAGTCTCTATTGTCGAAAAAGTTTTTAGATCGAAGCGAGATATATATGTGTGTGTATATATATATAATATATATATATATATATATATATATATATATATATAAATATACATATATGCATATATACCTGTACAGGTGTATATAGTTGACGCGCGAACGATATTACATATCTATAATAATTTGTTCTAATAATCAAAAGACGCGAAATAGGCGAGTTAAACGTGTAACAGTTGAATATAAATATTTCATTAAAATCGATTTAACGACTTTATATAATTCATTGATAATGATGCAAGAAACGAACGGCTTTTAATAATAACGATTCGAGTAGTCATAACCGCCTTCGCGCTTTTTTCTTCTCGTAAAAAGAGAACAAATTGCCCAAAGAACCGATAACGAGCGCTGATCTCTCGATTGTGTGACCCTTACTACTCTCTCGATGCCGACTTATTGTCGTAAGTAGAAATAACGAATATCGCACAACAAATCCTAATCTAGTCTCCGAGTGTTGCTCACGTATTCATCAATAAGTATCGTGTAAACGATTACAAGTGAATTTGTCATTATTGTCGACACATCGCATAAGGAAATCAATTAATACATCAACAATGTCTCAATCGTAATACTACATTTGTATTTTTTTTCTATTTTTTTCTGCTTTTTGTTCTTTTTTTTTGTTTTCTTCCTTTTGATTCTTTTTTTTCTTTTTTTTCTTTTTTTGTTTTTTTTTTTTTTTTGTTTTTTTTGTTTTTTGTCTTTTTCTTTCAAGAGACAGAGATTCTTCTCGATATAAATATCTATCCCACATGTACCTTGTTTTGTTTTTATCCTTTAACCAAACGCACGATCGAATAAAACCTTTCGAAATGTTCTTAATTTACGATGGATACGTTTGCAAATAGATACGTGCCGGAAAATAGTCACAATTCTAAAATGTAGAAATCAAACGACATTTATCTTATTAAATGCTTACACATAGGCTATATTAATGGGTATGCAACGTTTCTCATAAAGCTCTCGTCAACTTTAATTAACGTTCCTAACACGATTATTAGCTTTGCTCGCCCGTATTGTCCCCATATTGTCCCCAATTTAATATAATTATTATAGCCGTTACTCACAATAATTATTACGAAACGATGCGTATTCTTCTATAAACTCGTTCGCTTACGCACTTTCTCTCTTTTCTTTAAATACGAATGTACGAACAGTAATAATAATAACAATAATGATAACAATGGGTGTATATACCTATCATGTGTTCGTGTGGTATGCGTATATAATAAGAATTTTTCATTTCATTAGATTTACACGTATATCGATATCTATATATGTATCTGTCGTCTTAAAAAGGTCTCGCATAAATTGACTAATTCATCGGGCAACAAAAAAGGTGCCGCTCGATAATTGGTTTCACACTTATTTCCTTATCATCGATACACGATGTGTATTATTACGATTTGCCCCTAGTGAAACTATGGAAATAGATGATCGATCCATTCATTTTTCCACATAATCTCATATTTTCTCTCGTTTCTTTTCATAACTTGTGGTCAAAAACGATCATAATAATGCTAATGTATATGTGCATACGTTATGTAAGTAAGTACACTGCAGTAAATTCAGAACGTGACATCATTTCAAGAGTGGGGGGGAAAAAAGAGAAAAGAAAGAAAGAAAGAAAGAGAAAAGTTCATCGGTATCGTCAGTTTCATCGAGTGACTATCGAAGCAAGTTTCTTTTTTATCTAACGAATTAACACGATAATGTAACGCCAGAAATTCACATTACAGGTACTTGGTAAACACCCTGCATATATACATGTTATTACAGTACATGATCTCGTGTATATGTATAATAGGTAGAAGAGGAGCATGTATATATCCATATACCTATAATATCAATAGATAATAGAAATACATCTAAACCATGTATAGTGTAATATATATTTTTTCTTAATTTCACGATTAAAACTTTATCGATTTACTTTCAATTTACTTTCGTCGTTTCACTTTGTTTTCTCTTCTATCTTGTCTGTCTTTCGTTAATCAATAGTACTTTCATCGAGTTTTATCTTACGACGCTATTACTTTCAATAATATTATCACTTTCTTGCGGATACTTTCATTCGAATGTCACGATTCACGTAATTTTCGACGGGAAAATTCTCCTAATATCCGTATCGATTGAATAAATCCTTTTCTAATTTATTGCTATATTTCTACAATCACGAGACGACCTTGTTTCGTCTTTTAAAGAGAAATAGATAGATAGATAGATAGACAGAGAAAAAAAAAAATATATATATATATATATATAGAGAGAGAGAGGGGGGGGGCGGGAGGAGAGAAAGAAAACTAAATGAATAACATAGGGAAAGATTTGTTGCCGCATTTGCAAGAAATTCCGACTTTCTTCCTTTCATTTTTCTTGAAATTTCGCCAAATTAAGTGCATCTAGGCATTTTTTCATATTCGCGTAAACACTAGCGCATACCTATGGGTATGTTCTCTATTCAATTATTGTCGTAAACTGATGCTTATTGTCGGCAAAAAGATTCTTATTGTCTTCGCTTTTGCCTGTACATAAGTTACGCAAGTGCTTATACACACTCGTTTTTTTCGATTTTCAATAACTAACTAAAAAGAGATCGTTTCTCTTTTTCTTAATATTCTTTATCATTAACGACTTCTTCATATCTTCGTCATATCAATGGTTCGAGATTAAACTCTTCGTAAAATTTTTCTAAGCTAACAAAAGTTTCTAATATTGTCTCGTTTACTTTCATTAATTATTTCTCGTTGCATTCGCAATAGCGAACGACTTTCTGGAAGAAGTTTTTTTTCTTAGATGGGAGAATTCGAATCGATTCTCCATCTCTATTTTCTTTTTTTTTTCTCGGAGAGCATCGCTTAAACGTCGCTTTTTCTTTTTTGTTTTGTTTTGGTTTTTTTTGTTTTTTTTGTTTTTTTGTTTTTTTGTTTTTGTTTTTTTTTGTTTTTTTCCTTTTTCTCTGGAAACAAATACGTGTCGGCCTCTCATTACGTCGCGTTTTTGCGCCGACGGGCGAATGCGCAAGATGAAGACATTCAAGCGGGGATTAACAAATGAAACAAAAAATAAACATTCGGAAACGGAAGAATACTTTCCTCGCTCAGCTCCATCCTCCCATTTCTTTTTCTTTACTCGTACTTTCAGTACGCGAATAGCGCGAAGAAATCAATTTCAATTCCATTGATTCTGCGTAACGTCGTGCGTATAATCGTCTCTGGCAGGCGGTTGGACCAAAGTCGCGTTTAGATCCGTCGCAAACGGATTCGTCGAGTGAAATGGATTGTTACTGTTTGTCTCCGTCGATCCGTAATTTATAACGGGTGTTTTATCTTGTTGTTGGCCGTACGTATGATCGGCGATCATCGACGGTTGAGAATAATTGTTCCAATCGTCGGCGGCATCGCCGAGGGACGGTTGTTTCTGAAATATACGTAATAACTTAAATAGAGCGTTGAGAAATGATGTAAACGTCAATGGCGTTAAAGCTCACAATAAATTCGGACTGCATCGTCGCCGGGGGCGGTGGTACAGCAGGTGGTTTCGCCTGACTAAGCTCGTCCATAGGATTCCAACTCTTTTGTTCTTCGATCGTGGAATCGGCCCAGGGTTGCAATTCGCCGGAACAAAATATCCCGTAAAATATGACACCGAAGAAATGAACGCAGGCGGCAATGATGAATACGTTTCTCCACTCTTCGGCAGCCTAAAACATTCGTTTATAATATAGATTCTAGATCTTTCTTTCGTTTCCGTAAATTTTACACTCCTCGCATCGCAGATGCGACTATATCTTTGAATATAGCCGATCGATCGTGCTTTACTCGCCTTATTTTTCGTGATGTAATCGACGAAAAACGGTACCAGAAGGCCGGCTATCGTACCTATGCCGTTTGACATGCCCATCAGGATGCTCGCGTATTTCGGTGCGATGTCCAAATGATTAACGTTGAAGCCGGAAATGGCGAAGCCACTGCAGGCAACGCCAAAAATGAGAGCAAAATTCGCCGCCGTAGCGTCCTTGTGCATGGTTGCGTTCGCGACTACCAAGAAAAAGATAGCCTCCATGCCGAAGCCGCCGCAATTGAAGAGCTTCCTAACGTTTGTCGTCGACATGATCCCACGTCTACGAAGATAATCGGCCAACAAACCCCCACACGGGACGATAAATGTCATCATCAAGTGTGGGATCGAACCGACCATGCCAGTCTGATAAAAGAAGAACAAAATATCTTCGATTGGCCGATATGTTTGTTCGTTATCGAATAACGAGAAAAAGGAAAAAAATTGAAGAAAATCAATGTACGACGACGACGACGACGACGACGAAAAAATAAAAGAAGCTTTGCGATCCTACTTGTTCCAATTAAAATATTTACGTTAACTCTTTCTTTAGGATCTTTAATTAAACGAATTTATGGATATTGCGCCACGTATAAGTTTGAAAATAGAGAAAAGCGTTAATAATAACTCGTAGGTACTTCGACGAGAGATATATTGAAGGCCTCGTGTATGAAGCGAGCTTGAAAAAGGACCAAGAGGTAAAAGTTCCAGGATCTGCAAAAGTTGGCGACGATGATCGCGTGGACCGGCATCGACGTAAAAAATTTCTTCCATGGGGTCGTGGAGAACGTAGGTATCGGTGCCTGAACTTGCCCTTGACCCAACGAATCCTCAATATATCGAAGCTCCTTCGCAGAAATCGAAGGATGCTTCGATGGTTTCTCAAAAGCCAGCCAAAGCCAGAAACAGTACCAAATTAAACCGGCGATGCCTAAAATTATTATTTCGCTTAAGTTACGTTGACGGGATTCTTTGACAATAGGAAATTTATTATCGAAACATTTACCGTAAAAGTAAAAGGACGCCGTCCAACCGAACCAATTGCTCAATAAACCGGAAAGCGGCATTCCTATTACCATCGCGGCGTACGATCCGCAAAATGCCAAGGTGGCCAGTCGTGATCTTTCGAGTGGTGGCGCCCAAAATTTCCAAATACCATGACAGGCTGGATATGTAACGCCCTAAAGAAAAGATTAAGATAGTTTGAATCTTAATACCTTGATTAATTATCTAAATGTCTCTATATATGTAAGCATATGAACTCGGAATGAATATCGTACCTCGACAAAACCTTTCAATGCTTGGACGATCATATCGACGATCGGATCGACCTTGAGAGCACCAGGCACGAGGAGATTCAGAAATGAAGATATCGCTATAGCCGCACCAAATATTCTATTTGCGGGATAAAGGGAGGCTAGAAATCCACCCGGGACTTGAGTTATAAGATAACCCCAAAAGAAGGACGAGTCCATGGCACTTTCCGTGCCGACCGTCCAATTGAACTTTAATTGCTCGCCCTCTTCGGTCGTGTTCTTCATCACCAGTTTTGCCATTCCCATGTTACACCTCATGCCAAACGAGATGACGAATCCTGCAATCCGATCGTTTCCCTCTGTCGACGATACTTTTCGACGTGAATACTATTTCTCCCGCCCGTCCCTCCCCCTCCCCATCCCACACCCCTTGCCCATCCTGGTGGAGGGGGGAGAGAGAGAGAGAGAGAGAGAGAGAGAGAGAAAAGTAATGGAAGGCTCACCTAAACAAGCCAATACGGCGACGGTGTATCTCTTAGACAAACAGGGTAATTCCGGTTTGCAGTAAGTATCGATATGTCGTAATGGTGGTCTTTCTGGTTCTGGAAGCGAATCGAAAGACGCTTGTCCACTGTATCCCCGCTCATCCTCGAACCCTCTGTTGTCTTTGCTTGCCTCTGGAGGCATTTCAAATTCCTCGTAGCCGGCATTACTCCTTCTGAATCTGTATCAATTGTATTAGAAGGAAACGTTATTTAGCGACGACGTCGAACGCAACGCGTTTCATTTAAAATCTACAAACGATCCATTACCCAGAAAGTTTTTCCGATGCTTTAGACTTGAAGGAATTGAAGGCCACAAGACTCGCCGACGCGAATCCAGACATTTTACAATTATTGGCCTTGCTTCGGGCCTTTTCGTCGTTGCGTTGTTTTATTCGGCAATCCCTGGAGTAGACCAAGTCACATGATTTTTCCTTACGATACGAAATCCCCTGAAAGGATTTGCAACATTTCTGTTACACGCGGACTGAAAAATTGTCCTCTTTTTTCTCATAACCGAAGATTTCTTAATCTACATCGCCTAGACACATGCATCTATCGAATAGAGAAAAATAAGACGGTCGACAGTTTTATAATTACTTGGAGAAAACAGATCAGGAAGAGGACTTTGGAGGATTATATCCTGTTTAATAGCTACTTCTACCCTATCGAGCCACGTCCTTATATATATATATATATATATATATATATATATATATATATATATATATATATATATATACACATATGCACATGTACATATATATATCTATACATATATAAGGGCGGAAAAGTACGAGAGTGTAGGGGTGTTTATTTGGAGTGGCAGTCTCTCCATCCCTAATCTCCGAACTCTCCGGGGAATCTATCTCGAAGGGAGAAGGATCGTGAAGAAAGAGAGAGAAATAAAACTCAGCCCTGTCTTACGGTCGTATTTTTCACTTAAACTCTCAGAGTTTTGTCCGCCCTATTTTCATTCCATCGCCATGCTTTGAACAATTCCTACTTCCATTCTATCCGTAGAATGTGAATTTTGAAATATTATATGATTCCTCGAAGCGGTAAGCGGTAAATGATGCGTAAGCGAAATAAAGTATCGATTGCCACGTGAGAAATTACGTAATGGTTTGCTCGCGCGCGTACCAAATCGATGAATACGTTTTGTAAATCGAGACTGCTAGTCGTCCTGCTTTTGATAAGAGCTAAAGAAAAAAGAACGTGGAACGAGAGGAGTCACGTGACGCGATGATCGAGGAACGATCTTCGAAATGGAGGTGTAAAGATTAGAAGGGTGCGCCAAGATGAGAGGAGATAAAGAAAGTTATAAAGGGCATCGAACACGAAGAAATGACAGTCGGATATTAAAACGGCACGTGACGAACAAAAGGCACAAAATGCACAGCACGTGTTAACGAATTAGGGTGGAACGACGTCGATGGGAAACGCTGACTCAACTCTTAAATGGACACTGAGCATCCTCCATGTCGATAATTACTCCCCAAAGTCTTTTTTTTCTTCTCGCTTTGATAAATTTTATCGACCTCTTTCGAAAGGGCGAACGATTCGATCGTCGGTGCCTAAAGCTCGCCTTTAATCGTCTTTTTTAATTTTTAATACACAGTCAACTTCTTTTTTTTTTTTTTTCTTTTTCTCAGCGAATTTTTCGCGTAAATCATAGAATCTATCGTAACCTTCAGTCCCGCAAACCCCAATATAACCCCCCATGGTATATAGAATTTCTATCTCCGCAGATAGAAAGGGGGGGAGAGAGAGAAAGAGAGAGAGAGAGAGAGAGAAAAGTTACAATCTTTCGAAACCTTCACTTACGATTATTCTTGATCGAAGAAAAATCGTAGAAGAACGGATAGACGTATCGATCAATAGTTTTTCCAGGGAACGACTTTGGTTGATCTTAAAATCTTTCGAAAAAATCACTCAAGAGAATCACATCACCAGAAACGCATCACCACTCACATATAACTTGCAACGAAGAAAGACGTAATTTGAGAAGAAACAAGATTTCTGGTCCCTGACGGACGAAACGTGTTATACTCCACGAGATAATGGAAAATAAAAAGCAAGAGAATGTGGTAAAAAAATTAAATGGAAATTAGGAAGGGAGTAAAAATTTGATTCGAGAGAAAAAAAGTAAAGGGAAAGACTCACCGATAATGAAATCCAGATATGATTACGAACAGAGAATAGGATGATGCGGGGTACGCGACGGAGAACGTCGCTTAAGTCGTAGCTGCCACCACCGCCGCCGTCGACGTCTTCGTCGACGTCGTCCTCGTCCTTGTCGTGTTCGTCGTGGTCGTCGTCGTCGCCGTCGTCGTCGTCGTCGTCGTCGTCGTCGTCGTCGTCGTCGTCGTCGTCGTCGTCGTCGTCGCCGTCACCGTCGTCGTCGTCGTCGTGGTCGTCGCGGTCGTCGCGGTGGTCGTCCTCGGCATCCTCGAAGAGTCGACTTGGAAAGACGTCGTCGGCGCATCACGACGAGGTCGTCCGATCCCATTGGCTGACGAGTTCGACGCATCGATATCACTGGCCAATAGAGTTTATCCATCGACCCCACTCGTAGCCACCCCAGGCGGAGCTTCTTCTACCCCACCTGCCCTTCGACCACCCACATTGCCATGGGAAAACCGTTTGCAACAACAAAACGGCACGCGCAAACAACCATAGTAATGGTATTAACTACGTTCAACGATCGTACCTTGGATCGAGCTCCGATCGTCTTCCTTCGCTTATTATTCGATCTAATAACGAATTTGATCGATTTCAATCGTGACTCATGAATTTTTCGATATTTAATCCTTATCCGTCGGTGATTAGCTTTCTCTATGATATTTGTCAAATATAACAAGGTCAAGCTCGAGGCTTTCTATCGGACATACGATATTGTTATAAATATATTTCTACCTTTTGCTATCTTAAAGTTACTATTTTATTTTGTTGAATAATCGGTTGAGATCGAAGTGATTTCGCAAATGGATATTAACTAAGAGTTGAGACGAGATCGAACCAAGCTCTCGTTGTCATTGGCAAATGAAAGCCCTTGCCAATTAATTTCAACGTTTCTTTATGCAAATACCGTAGGTCTCTCAAAAGGAGGATCGTCGTATTTTAATGAAAATATACGCGTTGGTCTTCTTCTCTTTCTCTCTCCCGGAACGAAAAAATTTCATCCGAACGGATTTATTTCTCCTCTCTAATTTCTCTTTATTATCTCGTTCTTAAAATTAAAAAAATAAATAAGACGAAGGAGCAAGGACATTTTACTTAATCGCTCGATAATATAATACAATATAATAGGTCGAAGGTGAGAAAATGAATAGATAGGGAGTAAGTAAAGATATGTTCGGTGATCGACGAAATTAAGATGAGTCTTGTCTATCGGTGCGTTGGCTCAAATCCATCGCTAGACGTTAGAAGCCGACTCGCATTGTTACAAACAGAGGGTAAAGCGGTCGCGGCGTGGGCACCCTCTCCACGGTTGCCAGGAAATATCGATCTGCTCCAGAGGCTGCCTGCTGTTCTCTGAATGGTAGCTCTGTCATTCTTTATCCTCGCACCACCGACAGTCCTACGACCCGAATAACTCGAATTTCACTATCATCTTCTCGTCCTCCTCGGGCGAATAATATCGCGAATATTTGTATTTCCAATTCTACCTCGGTTCGTACGTACTATCAATTCAGTTGCTTCTAAATCGGTAGGATTGAAGAGTCGAGGGAAAAAAAGAAAAACTAAAACTAATATTCCCCGTCGTACGTACTCGATTGTATCATTAACAATTTTCCCTTTCATCCTCGAATAACGAGCAAGTTATCAACCTCGTTCGTGCGAGGCCAAATAAGAATTTATTGTTTGGTTCTAACATCCTCCCCTTTCCCATTATCCAAAAAAGAATATCTAATGTTCTTACATAGGGCGACATATTGTTCCAACTTGTATCGAAAATCTAAACCAAGATCGCTGATAGGTTTCTCGTAATCGTCGACGGATCGTTCGTACGAAAAAAGTTCCTTTCTATTTTCGCATGACGTCTTTCGTATCTCCTTAGATTTTCTTCCACTTTCAACGTCCGTGAAATTTCTTTTCATCTCGGAAAGGAATTTCGTCGTGCCAACGAGATCGCGATTACGAGAACGAGACGTAAATCCGTCGACGAGTTTAATACTTCCTTTGTTCGATCGTCGTGGACCAATCGGTATATATAAATAATCCCGGCGAGTTGGCGATCCTTCTTTGAATTTCGATAGGGAATGGATCGTCGATCGGCGAACTTTTGAGGAACGATCGTCGAAGGACGATCGTAAATCGTAAATCGTAATACGATCGAAATAGTTCGGAATTTGACCGTTTGAGAACGGAGATCCATCTTTCGTTCCTTTCCTATCTCTTCCGTTTTCTCCCCTTCGATAAAGTTCCTTCCTCGACGGTCCTCCGGAGCGATCGGCAGTCCCCTCGACGTTTACCTCGGCTTTACCCCTCTTCATTAATCTTCGTAAATTCGCGCGGAGCATGTTTCTAAGCCGGCCAATGGATCTCCTCCCGCCGTAAAAACTCTTTGAAAACAAGTTCGAATCTCGAAAGCCAACGTAATTTTCTATTCTCGAGATCCATGGCTCGCCACTCGAAAGCTCCCTTCGCTTTCGATTATAGAAACATTTCCTACAGGTAGAAACGTATGGCAAACGATTCTTATATTTTCCCACGAGGAAGCGTTTCTTGCAATCGCTTTCTAAAAATCCACCCTCCTTTTTCCTCCTCGGCATTTTAAAATAAAGAGTCGTTCTCGACGACTCTTTATCGCGAAGTCGTCCTTCTCTTACTTTCGTTCGCGATCCTGATCCCTTCCTTCTATCGTTGCCATCGGCTGCGACTATAACGGTCGAACTAGCGTTCGCGCAATACCTCGTTCTTGACGTTTGAATCGACAACGATACAAAGTCCCTATGATCCTCCCTATGATTTTCTCTTTTTTCGATCGGACAGAGTTGAACCCCGTGATCTTGCTCCCTTCGAATATCCTTTTCACCAATCACGGATGAATTCTCTACTCGTTCGATCTTGTCTCCCAACGCACCTTGAAGCTTTTCCTCGCTTTTTCGTCCCGCGTACGAAAATGAAGAAACTTTCGAACGGCAGGAACATCTCGAGTCACAATCATCGAGGTTCGCTACTTCTTTAGAAAGTAATACTTCTTTCCTCCTCGTTAAACTGTCCATGCTCATCGAACTGCTAATAACGATTTCTTCCTTTTCTTCTCTCGTCTCGACCGTACGAACGATCTCATCTTTGGTTACCAAACTGCAAAGCCTTTGGGCGCAAACGTCTTCGTTCAATTCCTCTTCCTCTTCCTCTTCCTCTTCCTCTTCCTCTTCCTCTTCCTCTTCCTCTTCCTTTGATGACTTTGTCAAATTCAACGTGTCATCCTTGTTCTTGGAAATATTCGACGAACAAGGATTCAAAATATTCGCGTTTTCGTCGATCGACCGATGATGGGACAGGACGATCGGAGTCTCGCAAGAAGGACGACAGAAGACAGTTCGATCGAATAAAATGTCTTCGTTCGAAAGACACGTAGGATCAACATCGAGTCGTTTACTTGTCGTACAATCGTCACTGATATTCTCCGTTAGGACCTTCCTTTTCCCTTTCATCTCATCATCCTCTTCTTTTCCTTCGATCGATGAATCATCCTTTTCCTTTATATTCTCGTCGATGTTCAATATTATACCTTGGTCGATCGGGCCAATATCGCCTTTGGTAATAATCCCGACGTCTAGCCTGTGCACGCTCTGACGGATCGGTACTCGGACTCGATTCGCAAACAAGAGACAGGACCTCGCCTCCTGACTTCTTCTACCTGTCAATTTGAAGGTGATGTAATCTTTACGAATGTCCAAAATCAAACGTAGCTCCACGATAGAAGTTTCGCTGAATATTTTTCGAACGACGTCGTTAAGGCAGGAACAAACGCTCAATATTCCCATTTCGAATTTTCTTTTAGTCGCGATCAGACAAGATTCGCCTGAGAGGAGGAGAGTTGGATCGACCTTGAAAATCTCCCTCGTCACATCGTCGGCTTTAAAGGGCAAAGATAAACGACGTTGTCTTCTCATCCGTGGCTTTAACGACATCGAGCAACGACGGCAACAACGACAACTACGACGACGATGACGACGACAACGACAGTCCCACGGCACAAATAAATTTCGACATTTTTTCCCTTTGACTTTCCTATCGGCGTTACTATCATTCCCATTCGCGTAGCGTACCGCGTCGGACAAGTTGGAAGAATTTTCCAATCGACAGGAATAATGGTCCAGGGTTGATTCGAAGGTGCCCTGCGATTTCATACGTTCGTTACGATCGATTTTTTCGTTGCTAGGAGAATCATAAGTAGCTGCTCTTTTACAAGCACTTCCGTTCAACGGATAGATGGATCCTGCAGATACTTTCTTACTTCCTAAAATAACTTCTGCCCTAAGATCAAGAGAAAAATCTTCTCGACTCTTTTCTTCCTCCTCTTTTTTTCTCATTTTTTCTCCGTCTCTTCTTCTTCTTCTTCTTCTTCCTTTCTCTAATAACCTGCCAATTCAAGAAAGAACTCTATTGAGATTGGTACACGTATCTTCGGAGAGAATATAATAATTATAAATAATAATGTCATGATTTTTGATCGAACAAAATAGCATTATAATTTGTTTTCACTCACACGCAATCTTTCTCACGATGTCCCCTCGAAAAATAGAAATTATTAAAGACGTTCGAATCGAAACCCAAGGCGTCCAATTCTTGGCATATCTTGATCAATCTATTATTCAAAATGATCGAATTGACGAAGCAACCAAGCAGTCCGTCATTGAGTAAACATTTGATCGTGTACTTGATGATCTCCTCCATCGCGTCAACCTCCCACGATACCTACCACGAATCATTCCCAATGGATCTCTTCGGGTTACGAGCACGTACATATGTTTCTTCACCCATGAAGATCGAAGCACCATGAATTCATCGAATTTCTTTTTATCTTATCGACTAATGATTCCACGCTCGTTAGATCCTCGGATCTGACACGGAGTTTTATTTACGTAGTGTATAATGTGAGGGGTCTAAGCGTCTCTATCTTTTTCTTTCCTTGAAATTTTAACAATTGTCATAACGCGTACTCATAAAAATCGAGTTTCCTTTCTCAATTTTTCATCGAAAAGCAAAAAAGGAGAAAGCCATTTATTAGGAAACGTGATTTTCTAAATTGTTTCAATGATGGAGGAGGAGGAGATCCTTTTGTCGGACGTCAATAATTGGATAATTGCGAGGAAAGGTTATCCTTTGACTCCTCCTTGCAGCCTAATATATTTCTATCGGCAAAATTAGTTGTCTGTCGTTGGAGAGATGTTATGTACGTACGATTGATCTTTCCCCATTATTCTATCCGATCGAGCAACATGCGGTGCTCCGAAGCTTGCACCGTTACCGTTGTGAAATTAAAACGTCCAACTTTAAATAATCGATTCTCATTGTCGGATATCGATCAAGTACGGATTAGCGACTTTATTATTTTTAAGATATTTTATTCGTCGTTGGAAGAAAATACACATACAAGGGTCGTATCTTCTGGGCGCGAACGAAGATGAAATATATATCTGTACGCGTACACGCGTGATATCAAAGGGAATACGTACAGTATAATAAACTAGTTTCGGTCGAACCACCTGACTTTGTTAACTGACTTGCAGCGACAGCAAAATTCAGGGTCCACCGAATATGCTAATGTGTTTTACGTTAAGTGCTCCAACGCATTGGTGCGAGACCCTTGACGCGGCGGGATTCCAATAGGGGAGAGAAATATGTATATATGTATATATGTATATATATATATATATATATATATAGAGAGAGAGAGAGAGAGAGAGAGGAACGATGAAGGAACGACGAAAGCGAGGAAATAAACGAAAAGAGAATATGAATCTATCTCAGATCGAACTAACGAATCGTTCTACGTATTGAAAGATTTTTGAGTGAAAATCTAAAGAAAAGGTTGTAACATTTGAATGTATCTGCAGATTACGTAATAGAAATTTTTCTAATGGACAGGCACATGCACGTACGCATATATTAGATAACTCGTACGATCTAGCTCGTGAAAAAACGTCAACGTAACAAAACGAGGGTGGAATAATAAATAGCCTGTTGAAGAAAGGAAGGAAGAATGAACGAGAGAGAGAGAGAGAGAGAGAGAGATAAAAATCTATTTCCGAAATTTTTCGGAGAAACGCATATACTTCATTCGCATAGTCGCTTCGTGGAGATCAATACTTGTGACGCCGAGACAGAGCGTAACAACCCCTCAACGCTGACATCATTAAACAATATATTTATATGTATATACAATCGTCGCAATTTACTATACATATTCTATGTCTCTCGATTTTTCACATATTCCATCTCGCATGAATAACAGAGAAAAAGACAAAAAAGAGAGAAGAGCCAATCGAAAGAATTCTACGATAATTCTAGAGATGCAATCTCTGGGCTTCTGGTCATGCGAGAAATCGGACGAGCTACGATGATTTTCCACGTTTGATCTCTTCTCTGTTGACCCGTATTTTACGCGCTAACGATGTATCGAGGAATTTACAGGAAGCTATAAACGTCTCGGACGAGATTGAAATCTCTCTCTCTTTCTCTCTCTCTTTCAACCTTGCCCCTACATACTTTTGGAATCTTGGAAAAATCGAGAGAGAGAGAGAGAGAGAGAGAGAGAGAGAGAGAGAGAGAGAGAGAGAGAGAGAGAGAGAGAGAGAGAGAGAGAGAGAGAGGTCAGGAACAGTTCCTCCTTTTCGTTTTACGATATTTCACATAGGCCACTGATTTCTACCGAACCATACTATTAACTAAGAATTAAATTTGAAGAATTGCATTCGAAAGTCCGTAAACACGGGACAACGACTAATAGACGTTTATATACCGACCGTAATGAGAACAGAAGGGTCCTTTGATATCTCTCTTCCCCTTTTATCTCTTACAAAAATGATCCCTTCGAATCTCCATTTATATCTGATAAAAGGACGCCTCGAAATTTCAGCCGTGATTACCGAAGCTAATTATCATATTATTTGAATTTGATATGAACAATAATACATAATAATAGACAATTAGGAGCATTTAGAAAGAAATTCTTTGTATGATGCAACTCGAATAAATTGGCCTAGATTCGATTAAGAGTCTTTTCGTTGAATACGATAAGAAAGAATTATTTTACAATAAATTGCAAATAATTATTCAAGTGGGAAAGAAAAAGAATATGAAATTATTAAATACGTTAAAGACATTCGTCGTCCCGATATCGTGACGTACAACCTTCGCTCGTAATTCGGCTTTACGAATGTGGGTTGCCAGAAACATAGTGGAAAAGCGAGTGGGAGTTCGAAGGTTCCCTTTTTACGTAGCTCTCGTAAAATCGAAAGGATCAATACTTTGATACTAGCTAAGACCACCAACGGCGCTCTCTTCTCGAGGATTCCGAGGGTCCGATTGACGTGAATACTGGCAGCCATCGGACAAAAAATATCTCGTCAAGGACCCGTTCGTTTGCTCCGTTCGTCTGCTACTTAAATCAATCACCGATCCTGGTAATTAAGAAAACGTTATTCTCTCGTTGATAATCGTAAGAAACATAAGCGAATCTTTGATGAGCTCGATGGCCCAGATCGCGTGTACGTGCGCAAAGAGGTCAATGAAAAAATTGTCATCTTGTAAATTGTCATTTTTTCATCTTGATTACAGCTACAATTCGCTCCTCCCGCTATGCCGTACTGTATTCTACTTCTCTTGATAGCCGTAGCTACGCAGGCATCGTTCTATTTACCATCTACGATTCAGGTAAAATTAAACGGACGAATAATCTTATTGCGATTATCATTAACGAACGAATCGATTTCAATTGGTCAATCTAATCTATCGATTTTTAGGAAGAACATCTTCTTGCGGAAAGGCATCATCAAAATACCATCGATACGTTGAACGATTTTATCGACGCTGTCAATTCTTACGCCGAATATTTCGGTAATTCTCGATTGTCCGATGACTTTGATAAGCCAAAGGAAATACCGATAGATCTACCGGCTGATTACGAAACCGTCGATACGTTCAATCCCAATCCAAGTATTCGCGATCAAGAATACCTGCAACATAGTACTCTATGGAGTCATCAGCATGCGAATGATTATTACAGGGGTAACGATAGACATAGGATACAACAGAGCATTGGTTTAAAGGGTGGAAAAGATGATAAAACTGAAAATGCATTACCTGCTTACTGCACACCGCCGAATCCTTGTCCAATAGGATACACCAGTGAGTTACAGACTTTTCCTTTCTTTCTTTCTTTCTTTCTTTCTTTCTTTCTTTCGTAGTTTCCCTCGTTAAAGTGCCTGATCATATCAATATCTTTCTTTTCTTTTTTCTATCTCCCGAGCGGAGAATAATAAGAATTAACCTTTACCTTTTTAATAATTCTATATATAAGCCTGTATAATGTCGTAGAAGAAAAAAGTTTATTTGATATCAGGTGAGAACAACTGTCTTGTCGACTTTGAGAATACGGCGGCGTTTAGTCGTCATTATCAAAGCTTACAGGATTGTATGTGCGATACCGAACACATGGCAGATTGTCCGTCTAATTCCATTAACAATAATGGTCTTCCTGGTATACGCATTTCAAATTCTGATTTTGAAAAGATCATTGAATTTCAGGTAAGTCGACGAACTTTTTCGTACTTGAACTTTTTCAACTTTATTCCTACGATTTCCTTTTTAGGACGAGAATCCATTCTTCCGAGGAGAAAAATTACCGATAGCTGCGAAAAAAGGTATAAATGTGGTTTACTAAAAAGGCAAAGATATAAAAATGTTATCTATCGAGTATTTACTGTCAAGTCACATTGAATAACTACTCTATGCACTATGCTCGATGGAAAAATATTATATGCGTGTTAAATAAAAGAATTGTAATACATGCTTAGATCAGAGAGAGGGAGAGAGAGAGAGAGAGAGAGAGAGAGAGAAAAGTCACGTATACATGTAAATTTCTTCTACATAAATTATTTAAGACTTTTTCAATATATTATACATTAAAATGATCGTCGTCGCACTAAAAAATGCTATTATTAAAACGAACCATTTAATTTATCGATGTAAACAATTGTAATATACACACACTCACGCACGCATGTACGCAAACAGACAGCAGACAGACAGCCACACACACACACACACGAATTATACGTATTTTAACATGAGATTTGTCGTTCAACTTTATCCGAAATTCCGTTCTTTGAAACAAACGACGTTTTGACACAACTACGTAGACGATATCTCACGTATCGTTCCATTGCACTTTTTTACAAGATACTATCAATGAGATATTCAATAATTAAATATTATTTGTTACATATTGGCATATCGGGTCGCGAGGGAATGCACCTTATCAAATACATTTCTATATATATGAAATGTAAAATCAGTGGCAAAGTTACCGTATAACAATCAATTAATAAATAAAGAGAAATATTATTTTATAAAGATATAACACGAACGTACAAAATGACGACACTATCTTACTGCTTTCTAAAACTTTTCAATATCGGATAAATATTATTTAATGCGTCCTGCAATTCAGATCGTTTCTTTGCACCTGCAACATAAGCTAATCTTAATATCACAGATCGGTATAAATACGATAGATGCGACTGGCTTGAGAGGATAATACCTTGAATCGCATAAACGGTAAAGAAACTATATTATATTATATCGATTGAACATTATTCGATCTTACCAGTTAATACTATCTTTCCATTTACAAATATGAGTAATACCACTCTAGGTAAAACCATCCTATATATTAAACCGGAATAGAGCTCTGGTTCGTAACTTGAAAATTGACCATGCATTTGATTTAAATTTTCCAACTTAATAGGAAATTTAAGATCGCACGTAGCGACTATATTTTGTACTTTAAAATTATAAAATTTGGCCTGCAACGAACGAGATAATATATTATAGGAAGGATATAATGAAAAGTTTAATTTCATTAATATAAGGATCCAAGCGACGTCCTTACCGGGAAACCCAATTTTTGTATAATCCTGGCAAACTTTCTTGCTGCCAAGCAAGAATCCGCCTCGCTTCTGGCTCCGGTACAAACCAATTTTCCAGAACGAAAGATCAAAGCTGTCGTTGTGGGGTTACGTATTCTCATTATTAAACCGGTGAATCTTGCTGGATTGTATTCCGAATTTCTTGTTCTCGTATTAATATACATCAGTCTTAATTCCGTACCTAAGTTAACGGTGGAAACGACGTTTCTGGAAAAAGAAAAAGAAAAAAAAAAAAAAAAAAAAAAAGAAAGGGGGATGCCTGAGAGAAGATCTAGGAGGATTTTCTTACTGTACGCAAGCCTCTGGAATTTCCTTTGTACTATTGACCGTATTGGGTACCATCGGATTCATGGTAGTAGATGGATTAACATTTTGAGATGTACTTGGCCGTGGCACGTTAGTCTGCAATCAATTGCGCGTAATCAAGTTTTTAAACGTTACCTTCTTAAACGTTATCATGAATTCGTAATTAATAACCTACCGATAACGGCGGAGCCATACATATATCCTCGGTAATATTTCTCACAGGAGGAGCGTTCAATAATTGTTTCAACTCTTCGTTATTGTCTTGCTCGAGAGTTGCCATTCTCCTTCTTTCCTTCAAACTAAGTTTTCTAGATTTGTTTGATGTGAGAAAAAAAAAAAAGAACTCTCGTCTACCAGACGGGGACACGTGGCCTAACACCGGTTGACAATTGTTATTGGCCTGAAGTTGGCCCAAAGTAAATATTATGGAAGAGTCGAAGATATTTTCTGACGCATGCGCAATGGTTTGATTCGAATGGACCAATTCAAACGAAGGCGCGCGACAACTATTATACCTATTTATTATAAAGTATTTATTTATACAACGTACGTTGTATAACCGATTAACATTAACAGGATATTATCATGATAATTTGAAAATGTTATGCAAGCCAAAAACGAATTCTATGGACAATTACGTTATACGTAATTCTTTCCTTAATACTATTGGCTGTTATAGAAGCCTATCGCGCCATTAGCTGGGCTTTGGTGTCTAATTCGTTGCCATTGACAACGCGACGTAGCGTTGAGGTTAAAAGGATGGTGATATACGTTTTGTCGAAATAAACGAGGACGGTTATCATTTTTTTCTTTTCACATCGACAATCGTGTAATGTCGACGAGAGTGAATCGTTGATCTCGTCAATATATTCGTCGATCTTCTACCTATCTTCTCTGGCAAAATAAGGAAGGATGAGTTCGATCTTCGGTGGAGGAAGTAGCGACAACAATAATGTTAACGTTGTCGTCTTCGATGCGTCGAAGAATGAAAGAAAATTGAACGAGGAGTTCAAAGTGTTGCAGAGAAAGTTGAAACCAAAATGGAAATTGATCGAGTAAGTAAATTGATCTCTTGCAGATCATTGAATTTCGAAGCGTACGCTTCGTCTTTTTCACTTTTTAACGTTCTTTCAGAAACAACGATACCATCACCGAAGAATCATTGACGAGTGGAAAGGTCTTTGTATTACCGGGACCGAGAAATAAG